AAGCCCCCCCCCCCCCCTCCTCCGGCAAATTTAGTTCTACAGCACTTGGTGCATGCAGAGCCTTGTAAATCTCTATATATTGCACTGTTCGTCGACTATTGGTGCTATTCGCAGCAATATTCGCTTCATTATATGTTCTAGTTTTATCAATTACCGTTATCAATGCATTCTTAAAAACTCCAACCCATAAATTTGTACTTTTTTCTAGTGTTTGAGTTTCCACTAGAAGTTTTTAATTCTTCAATAACAACATTATTCGCAAAGACAAAGCGAGAAGCCATTATTTTTATTGCTATATTTAAAACAAGAAACTTCCGCGCTTGCGTTTCCCAGTCAACCAGTCGGGTACAAGTAGTTTTTGTCCAGAATCAGAGGTCCAGAATTAAGAAAAAAATGCCCTCATCGTTAGTCAATCATATTTGCAGTGAATAGTTTTGCCCTTTATGTATGATTAATACAGTAATTAATCAAGACTTATTTAATGATGTAGTTCGGATTTTATAATTGAACCTGATAATATGGAATCAAATTTGAATCCAGTATAACAAGTTCAGTCCTTCACTCTGTATCTACCCAAAGCCCACAACTCCGCAACTCCCATTGTTAGACAAACAGGAAGGCGATAGCTAGTGCAGGTTCTGGAGAAGCTGTAATTAGATCTCATTAAAATCTAGACGTATATTTGCGTCGATAATTGCTAAACGACATTATTAATCGTCAATCTCTTGGCTAAAGTGGTTCGCCGGCAGACACACTGCTCCATTTCGCTCGCACGGCACACGAAAAGCGTGCGAAAAAGCGCGTGTGGGCATTAAAAAACACATCAAAAAAAGACCGCGGGCTTTGACAGGTGGAGGTGGTATAAGAGCTCATCCCAAAAGATTTTGAAGGCCATTTTCAGTAGAGCGCCTTACAGGAAGGTTCCATTTAAAGGGAGAAGAGTAAAGCTAGTTCATTGGAAAAGAAAAAGTGTCCAAGATTCTGTAAACGGTACAAGTGTACAAGAGTAGTAATTTTGATGATGTTTTGTACACGCAAATTGTTGCTATGTTTTATCCTGCTGGCGCTGGTGTCACGCAATATCGCGCAAAGGTGTGGAGGTCCTATTTATTACGGGTGCAAGGTATGGTAAGATTCTGTTTCATTATGATCGTAAAATAGTCAGCTAGAAAGATAATCAACCCATCAAATCTGATAATTTAACGACTGACAGTATTTCTTGTTCACCTCGCAGTGTAGAAATAGTTACTTAACTCTTAAGGTGTCTAGTTACTGGAGTCTAGTAATTTACTGAAATACTAATTTTTTAATGTAATAATTGATTTGATGCCATTAATATTTCGCACTCGAGTTTACGTATTATTTCCGTACTACAAAGGCAAATTAACAATCCATAATTTTGGGCTGTATTGCTTCATCTAATACTGAGGGGTGACAAACACTTGACTTGCGCTCTCTCAAAATTCGAACTTGGTGAGTATATGGCTCAAAGGCATAAGTCGCCTTGTTTAGTTCAAAAGGAATCTGGCAATTTTTTTCTAGTAGTTTTTGAAACAGAGGAGCTTCGACTTCGATGCTCCCCTCAAAAAAATTTAAACATTTCTCGGTGTCGTATGAGATTTCTAACTTTAAAGGAGGTTCTTTGCTAGAAACATCTAGAAGTGATCTTAATTCTTATTCATATATTGATTACGTGTTGATTAACAGCTCAAATAGTTCTAAACTGTATCACGTAACTTCAGTAGTGCGATTAAGTCACGCTAGTTGCCAGCTGGATCAAGCCTTCAAGACACTTCACACTATTTTTTGAATAGATTTATTGAGTGACAAATATTTACACTTCTTTAGTGCATGCACGTCGTTTTACAATGTCTGATGTTACTTCTCAGAATTGCCCAACACGACTGTGCTTCAACAATTCAGTCACTTTTACAAACTCTTTGCTGTTCATAGTGTATATGCTTTACCAACACTATATACAATACGATGCGATGAACACCCCAATTAAGTCGCAACTCTCAACTACTATGTCTATGAGACGCAGACTTGCAGCCTATATTCACACCGTAACAGAACAGTCCATAGATATTTTTACTACCATGAAATTGTCAATGTACAAATTTCTTCTGCGTAAACTGGATCACGTTTACATATATTTTGTTCCTATTTTGTGGTCCATAATCTATCTACCAAAACTTTTCATGTCAAGTCCCGTGACATTCGTATATGAGATTAGGTGTTCCCACTTCCCATTACAACTGGCAAATCCAAATACAACAACTACAACTACAAATAATGTTTTTAACTGTATAATTATCTTCAATGCACGCACGAAATACATATAAACTTCACAAAAAAAATGTGTTCCTCCCCAGAGGTCCAGTAAGTTCTAGAAATCCTTGAGAGTTTGGACTGCTCCACGCCTCCAGTGTAATTAATTATTACAAAAGAAAACCGACGAGTCAGGCGAATCTGGAAGCACTCTTCTCACATGCAATTGAGGCAATCAGAAATAACATCGATCCCAATCACAGTGCATGGTACGCCTGTTTTAATCGCTGTATCAGCAGGGTTATTCTGCAGTACTATAGCTAAAGTTGATATACTATAGTCTATACAGTCATTATCTTTGAGACACGATATCTTTCAATTACATAGCACAGTAAGGATTCTCAGTGAAAAAATAACCGCAAACAATTTTGCAATAACACTACTTACTCCTAAAACTCAATAATAGGAGAAGATATTCTGGTAACAAATAAAACCGTGATATGAAAAAGATCGTCCAATTTACTCATCATGCTATTCCTTGCTTACCTCGACCTTTGTCTGGAAGTGAGATCTTGATTGATGACCATGGCAGGGTTAAGCCGGTCAGCCAAATTTTAATTCTGCTTAGAACTGCGTATAATACAAGGAGATCGACTTCATCCGGTGTTATTGCAATAGCCATTGACTGATTTGATTTGCTTGCAATGAATCAATATCAGTTCCAGTTCGATGCAAGCGGAATATGCTCTCGTGTGCACATATTTTCTATAAAAACATGCCCCAAATTTTTAACAATGCATTCTCACAAATAGAGTTAATTATATGAAAAGAGATAGACAAAACATTTCATTTTTTTTAAGTCGCAGTGCTTGAAATATTAGATGTTTGCGCAGTTATTTAATCCCCCCACTGTACAATGAAATCAGTAAAATCAGTTATAGTTAAGAATTTGAAAAACAACGTTCTCCTTTGCCCACGTCTTAATGCATAAAAATGTAGACCCTATCTTTAAAGATCAGTGCGCCAATTCTATTAGTATTCTAATAAATAATCTTAGTAGTACAAGACACCGTTCACACTACACACCGGAGCGGTTTGTCAGATAAATGGCGCGGAAAAGTCACAATTAGCCGTCGCGTTCACACTACTCTGACTTTTGCCGGCCGTAACAATTTGAGCACGATTTCTAAACGGAGCAAGATGAAAACGGAGCGCATGGCAACTTCGTGTGAACAGCGGCACCGTCTTTATCTTTGCTCCACTTCAGCATTTTTTATTATTTTTTTTTACTTCAACATTTTTTTATCATTTTAAATTTTTTTCACTATTTGAGCTCATTTTGCGAACGACTTAGTGTGCACAGACCGTGGGGGTGATTATTTCGCTCGGGCCGCGTTGCGTGACGGTAATCTTATAAGTATCACGATATAGCACTTCAAAGTCAAGTTCGGAAATTTCGTCATAGTGTATGTAAATACTGACTTTGTGATCTGAGTGAAGGCTGGAAATGATCGACATCATCCAATGTCATAAAAAAAATAATGCAGTATTTGCAGCTCCAAGGCAAGATATAATTTCATCGATATAGGTTTTTAAAAAAATTATAATTCATTTATGACGTATATCACAAGATCTTTTTCATGTTATTACTATGAAGATTGAAGGATAAAAATATTTTGAAAATATCGACAACTTCATGAAATCAGCTTTTGACTTGTTACAATCAACTATAATGAGATCTTTTATGCATATAGTTCTATTTTGTTTCTATCCTTTATTATTAATAAACCTTTATTCTTGACTTGCAACCAACCCTTGAGAATTATGGCCGCCATGTTGAAAAACAATAAAATGCCAGCCATGTTGGTGCCAAATTCAGTGAGTTTCGAAATGAAATGAGATTCTTTTGTTAAAATACCACCGGCCGCCGTGCAAGTCAAGAATTGATGTTATGTTTGGTATAAAGATTATTATTTCTGCACAAGAGACTTTTCCGAAACATTTCACTAGCGCTGTGAATTAAGTGGCCGTTTTACGTGCTAGAATGGTAGTATTCTATATATGAAGAATTTTGATGGAAAACACCGAGATGTTTCATGTTGTTTATTTGAAACTACAGCATGACCTTGCAATTGTGCAAACTCGCACGATCGATTGAGCATGCGTCACTGACGCATTTTCACCTGAAAAAACTTCCGTATTTTGGTTTATCCGCGCTTTATTATTTCCGATAAACCTATATACTCACGTTCATGGTAAATATTTAGTTGAATATTTTTATAACTCCATCTTCTACCAGTGATCCTATATAATGTACTGCAAATTTGATTAACTTTATTATCAAATGTTGTAGGCTAAATTCATTCAAATTTTACACATTTTTTTTAACAACAAAAAAACTCTAGTCTCAAGCACTCAGCTCAACGTCAACTCTGGCTCAACGTGCAAAAGAGCACATGAGTGACATAGGATAAAATGAAAGTGCGTGACCTTTCTGTATAAAGCTGTACAATTCCGTCAAATACGAGACGATTTTACTCATCGAACGGAAAGTTTGAAACCGGCCGATCAACAGGTGTTAATAAAGTCTCCTTAGAATGAAAATTGTGTCAAGAAGTACTCGATCAATTTCGGGTTAATCTTTGGCAAACGCCTACCTATGAGACACATTGACTGCCTTTCAGTCTATACTCTATAGAAATGTCTTGATTATAAAAAGTATCGTCTAGCACTCGAGGAAAATTACACCTGGGACATTTCGCAATGATCCTAACCTTTATATACGACGGCCTCATAACAAACTCTTCAATTTTAATAGTTCTATGCAACGTAAGGTGGGATGTCACATGTGCGCCTTTTACGACCGAGCTTTGATTCCTGCATGCAATGTGCAATATGCAATTTTCTATACTCTATAGTTATCATTTGGCTTCGATCAGAGTGACTCCAGCCAATTTCCTAACTCCTGAAGTTCTTTATATTTTATAGAGCTATATGGAGTGTACTAAACTGAGTTAAAAAAACTCATTAATAATTCAGGAGGAAAACACAAAGAAAAATCATAAGCGTGTCGTATCTTTATATGTGATAAAAAATCATGTTAATTTACATAAACTTTAGCTTTGATTTTCTCGGTTTTGACAAAGTTTATTTTAAAAATTACTTCGCCAATGAACTCGTATAAGATGAGTCGTTTTTTAAGCCATTTAAAGCACGCGTAGGAGTGTTTTATCAGATATAAAACGCTCGACTGCACCTCGCGTTTTATATCTGATAAAACACTCCTACGCGTGCTTTAAATAGTACTTAGTTCGCTCCTGCTCGGCTTAATAATGAGATAATTTAATTTTGAACATGGCGTGATATTAGAACTGAAAAATCATTCTTTTAGGATACAAATCAAAATTTTCCCATAATACTTATTGAAATATTGTTACTTACAATCGCATGCAGGTTTCATGCAAATTTACGTAAAAAAGGACAAAAGTTTGTATTGACTATTGTTCGTGACATGACCTGTCGACATACCATTTATTCACCGTAGTCTTTATATTTTATATCTTTCATTGGGCCTTTAATTGCATTGATAATACAGTATACTCAGTCCAACGGAAACCTCTATTAAAATAAATTTTGTTTTATAACATAATACCAATTTCCGTAAACAATACCAATTGCGTGAGAGTTGTGAGACCAAAACCGCAGACTGCTTGATAAATAAGCGCCCGAAGGAATTGCGGAATGAAATATGAGCATTGGTCGGACGAAAAGAAGAAAATTTGAATCAACAACTATTGTTTACTGATGTTTGGGGCGGGCAATCAATCAAAGATCAATCCCTGCAGGTTGTTGATACCATAGACAATGTGAGAAAGATAATAGTTCTCGATATTTTGAGGGAAAGGAGAAATATTGGTGCCGGTAGTCTTTCTCTGCATTCTGACGAATGCCGAGAAAATACAAAAGATGCACGATGAAAATACATTCATGCACGATGTAAATACAAAAGAAATGAATGTTTAATCAATGTTTGTAAATCGGATAAAGATTTGTCCTGATTTACGGCATAAACTTCAGCTTTGATTTTCTCGGCTTAGACAATGTTTATTTTTAAAATTACTTCGCCAATGAACTCGTAAGATGGGTCATTTTTTAAGTACGATAAAACATTCGTATCCGATCTGTATCTGATATACAAACTCTCGCCTTCGGCTCGAGTTTGTATATCAGATACAGATCGGCTGCTCATGTTTTATCTAGTACTTATTTATTCCAAACAAAGTAGCAAGAGAGGTATAAAGGATACAAACAAATTACAACTCTACAAGATAATACTGCCTAGATTTATTATTACATAAATATATCTAATTGTATGATTGTAGTAGATCAAAAGTTGTTAATAATATGTCATAACAGTTTTTGGAAAGAAAGTTTAAAAATCTATCTCGCAATGGCAATGGTCTTCAAAACAAAAATAATTTATTAATTTTATACAAGCTCCCAATGTCAATGAAATTATTCCTTATTTGTTTTTATCATTATAGCAATATAGGATTAGGATAAACAGCTATAACTTCAATCAACGTCTGACCATGCAGTGTAACGAGCCTGATTTGAAGGTCTCATCAGCTCAGCTATATTTCAGCCAATCAACACGGCGCCAATGAAACGTGGTTGGCTGATCCATAGCCTATCGAAGGGAAGATCTGATGGCAGTGAAACTCATTAGAATAACAATATAACTCGTTATCTATGCATGTTGGTCAACGTTTATTCATAAATCACCCGTGCATGTGCATTATATTTTTACAATTTACCCTATTCAAGTCACGGATAGGTAACTTTCCTGAAACATTGCTATTGGTTAGTTGGGCAAAAAAACGGTGAAGGACCATATTTATGAATAAACGTTGACTAACATAGATAATGAGTTATATTGTTATTCTCATGAGTTTCACAACCATCTTCCCAGTTCGATAGAGCGTTTGCACTCATTCCCCAGGGACCAACTCAACAAAAGCCATGGCGGTCGTATTGGTGTTCCAGACAAAAGAGTCTAATTAAAATTATTTTGAATTGGAACACCAACATGGCCGCTGTGACGTCATGCGCAAACGCCAGGCAATGGCTGATCTGATTAAGAAAATTAAACCACAGTTAATAGAAATGGGAGTTAATAGACATGGACAATGTCATGAATAAACATAGAAAAATCCTTAAGGACGAAAAATTGGATTTACTCATATTTACGCCAAGTAAATGAATAGAAAATATTATATTCATTCAAATTTGCTGAAAAGTAAACAAGGGGAAGACCTCATTTGCTCTTTTTTTGCCAAAATTATTTAAATACGGTCTTCCCCTTGTTTACTTTGCAGCAAATTTGAGTGAATATAATATTTGCTATTTATTTACTTGGCGTAAATATGAGTAAATCCAATTTTTCGACTCCTGACCTAGTTGCTAATATTATCAGTTTAATCAACTATGTTTAATTTCCATTTTTCAGAAAATATCAGAAAGTAAACTAAGACGGCTGATAAGCCACCAGATTATCTCAAACAGACATAAGAAGCATCGAATGAATGCATTCAGATTGTTAAAATCCTGAAAGAATGATGGACATGCATTAAAGCTTTGGACTGTTGCAATACTGCACGCCTAGTGGTGGATTATTCGCCCAATATCAAAATTATGATAGTTTCAACCTGACAGTAACTAATAGATAGGAAGGTCTTTAATTATATGTATAGACTGAATGTGTAGATAGGCGTACGGAAACTTTGTGGGGCGGACAAAAATTTGCCCGACACTGATGGAAATTGGCCATGCATTATCATGGATTTATTGATAGATAAATAGAGAAGGTGATAAATCGAAGGAAATTTCAGTGACGAAGCTAGCCGTATAGCAACTTGTCATGCTATGCAAATTCGTGATGATTTGACTATTCAGATGCTGGTCATTAGCATATATAGCATGACCAGTTGCTATCGGTAGCTCGCCAATTGAAGGAACATATGGCTCATGTCACTATTTACGAGTACTTCTAGGATTTGATTATTTAAGATACTTCGAAAACCACTCACTCTACTGCATGCAATTTGAATTTAATTGAAGAAGAAATTTCAATCTGACAATCAGTTATTCAGTTTCTCTGACTAAACTTACTATCTCATGCAACATGAACATTGATATCATGACAAAATCGAGAACTATAGGGGCCATTCACAAAGGATGTCCGGCCAAATGATGGATTTCCAGACCCCCCTCCCCCCCTTGTCCGGCATTGTCCGAATTAGTGACTCCCCCCGGACATCCGCCATGCCTCGCAAAAACGCACGCAACCTTGTATATATCAAGAGTAAAAAACTTTTTTACTTTTAGAACTTTTTATAACTGTAAATGTGAACACAAAAACATATAAATTACTAATTAAAACAAAATCTAGTGTTAACCGCATAGTCAAAATGCCAATTTCACAATGGGAAGGACTGCTCAAAATAGAGGGAAAAAGAACTTTGTTTTTGATTTTTTTTAAATTTCGGACATCCGGATTGCTAAAAACCCCCCCTCCCCCCTATGTCCGAGTTTGTCCTGATTTTCCAAACCCCCCTCCCCCCCTCGGCTCGGACATCCTTTGTGAATGGCCCCTAAACTAAAATCCCATGTACATTGAGTTCTACCAAACCAAGATGCCTAAAATCTTGTTCTAACCAATAAGCTACAAGTTTTCAGATAGCAAAGATGAGGTTACATTGTATATTACAAGTAGTTCCTGCATGTATATTGCTATCTGCAAGTCTCAATATGCCATCCGAAACCTTGTACTGTAGCTCAATGTCTAGAGCGTCTGTACGCGGTTATCAGAAACTTAAGTGGTTCCATGTCCCAACAGGGCTCAGACGTTTTCTGAAATACTGTATACAATCTTAATTATAGTAAATATTGCAATACAGAATAACTACACTATCCTAATAACAATAAATTTTTGCCTTCCTTCATCATATCAGTCGTTATAATATATATTGCACCAACTGAATGTTTGAAATCTTATAGTTCACCCAAGGCCAAGGTAATTCCACAGACCATCTGATAAAAAAAAAACTATTTAAAGGTATGGGTATCCGCAAGGAGAGGTCCACTGCATGTGTGCGTGTTCGAATCTCGCACCAGACAACGAATTTTTTGTTGTTGTCAGCAGTGTTAAATTTTAATTATTTCATATTAAAATATGAAATACACTGCACATCCACCGAGACAAGCATTAATCCGCGTTGGAGTCACGCCATGCGTTCAAAACATTATTTAGTTATCTTAATGAAACTTGTAATACTTACAAACCCACAAACTAGATACGTCTGTAATGCCATGTTCAGTCTTCGCTTTCTCCTGTGTTTCTATTAGGACCTACAGTAGAAAGATTTGGTATAGTACTAACGTACAAGAACATGCTAAAAAGACTAAGACGATAAGACTAAATTGTACACTTGGATTGTTTAATATTATAGTCTATACACAGTTAGTATTAATTTCTTATAAAAGGGTACTGTACCTCTTTGATACTCATTGCCGCTTTTTTAACAGAAAACTCCATCTGTTGTATGGCATGTGGCAATGGCAGGTAACGAATCTAGAACATCCAAACATATTCAAGAAATAGTTAAAAAGATGATACCGACAAAAGGCCTCTTCGACCTACTATATACGCATTGTAATCTCAGACTGCAAGTTGCTAACTTCATGCCCATCCTTGCCAAACATAGCCTCCTCCGCAGGCATCTCACCTGGGAAATCGGGTGGTCGGAAAAAGTTTGGTGAGAATTTTTTTATTTCAATACTCGTTCGCAAGCTAAAACCCATAGAGTGGCCTGCGGAGAAGGCTATGCCAAACATCGTTTGTAAAGAGAAGGAGAAGCTATGCCAAACATCAGTTTGTAAAGTAAATTAAGGTACTGTAAAATTGGATTTTCATGCTATTTTTAATTAAGTCCCTTTTTTCACTGTAAGAATTAAATTTCTAAATGCAAGGTGAACCCTGCGGACCCTAAATAAAAAAAAAACATTTAAAAAGCTTTTCTTCATAACTTTGCCCTGATTATATAATTTTATATGCTGTAGTCATGTCCACAAAAATAGCAAAAATCAACTTTGAAATTCTCAGCAATATTCAGAGATGAAAATGTAAGATGACAAAACCAATAAAGATGAGAATCTACGATAATGTGGTAGATGGTGGTAAAGGATATTTTCGTGAGCAGTGGATTCATTTGCCAATATTTGTTCTCGTGAAACGAAATTTACATGCCTAGCCGTTAGCTGTGATTATTTTGGGCCGGTAGAACAAAGACTGGACGAGTAGTAGCAAGTGCGAAGGCGAAGAAGAGCAGCCGTCTGGATGTAACAATTTTACTGTATGCACGTATATTCTTGATTTACACTAGATATATTCATTAGGTTGATTTTAAAAAGTCTTTCAATGTTGATCGAGCTTTCAGTGCTGTAACGAAAACGTAAACACACAGTAGGCTAACGGAAAGGCAAAGAATAAATTAAAATTTGTACAGTTTAATAAATTAACGTGTTAAATTTCCGTGAAGGTTCATTTTTTGCATGTTAAACGCGAAATGACTGTTTTTCTTCACGTGAAATGTGATCCAACCACTTCCCCTTTTCGATCCGCCCGCGTGATATGGAATACGTAAACATTTTTACTTACTTGTTTTGCTAAAAGATTAAGTTTACGTGGTCGAGCATCTATATTTCTTCGATGATTATAAATAAACTGAAATATGATAAAAAAGGGTGGTAAAACAGATATTGCACCAAAGTTTTAATGTACTGAACAGTGCCGTTATTTCTAAAATTAATTTAAAAAATGAACCCTAACCCTTTTGTTCAACATTCAAATTAGACGGCCAGCCAACCTCAATAAAAGTATGTTTGTGATGTTACTCTGAGTGCATATCCACACCGGGCGAGCTTGAAAAATATGCCCGGCCACGGTGGGATTCGAACCTACGACCTTTGGAATACTAGCCCAATCTTGGCTCTTCCAACTGAGCTACGCGGTCAGGACGGTTCGAGTAAGTGATATTTCGGAACAGTATCTAGTTCCTTCAATACCAATGTGTTCTTGTAATATGAATTTTTTCTGTGCTGGTGTTGTGTACTCAGGTGAATAATATGTTTGTGATGTTACTCTGAGTGCATATCCCACCCGGGCGAGCTTGAAAATATGCCCGGCCACGGTGGGATTCGAACCTACGACCTTTGGAATACTAGCCCAATGCTCTTCCAACTGAGCTACGCAACACAGAAAAAAAAATTCATATTACAAGAACACATTGGTATTGAAGGAACTAGATACTGTTCCGAAATATCACTTACTCGAACCGTCCTGACCGCGTAGCTCAGTTGGAAGAGCATTGGGCTAGTATTCCAAAGGTCGTAGGTTCGAATCCCACCGTGGCCGGGCATATTTTTCAAGCTCGCCCGGTGTGGATATGTACTCAGAGTAACATCGCAAACATATTATTCACCTGAGTACACAACACCAACACAGAAAAATTCATATTTCATCTATTGTTTTTTATTCAACCAGGTATTAAACAGCATCAGAAAAGTCATAAATTGTTGTTCTTTTATGTTATAATTATCAAGGCTATAATTAAAATATAGAGACTGAGTCACCATACTTTTTGTTGTTATGTACTCTGGTGAATATGTTTGTGGTGTTACTTTGAGTATGCATCCACACCAGGCAAAGTGAAAAGTTTGCCTGACCACGGTCAGGCATGGTGGGAATCGCACCCACAACCTTTGGGTTATCACTCCAATGCTCTACCGAGCTATGAGGTCACCTAAGTATATAACACTAACACACACAAAAAGTATCATGTCTTAGAATACATTGATATCAAAGGAACCACACTCAGTTCCAAAATATCACCAACTCGAACTGACTTAACCTAGTAGTTCAGTTGGTTGAGCATTGGACTGGTATCCCATTAAGGTCACAGGTTCGATTCCCACCATAGTAAGGCAAACTTTTTAGTTTGTCCCGGTGTGGATGCACACGCAGAGTAACACCACAAACATCAAGTTATGACCATGTTTACACTTCATCCATGCCTGACAATCACTGACACAGGCAACACATCAATTTGCCCGAGTGTATGGAATGTACAATTCCTCTGCACCGGACGGCAGCAAGTCTAGGCTCTAGGAATTGTGTATCGTTTTTGTGCAGGATACCCACATTTATCCAGGATACCCACATCACTTACGTGTTCTTCAGTGGGGTCCTGCATCAAAATTACAATTATTTACAATATTAATTATTGTCAATATTTAAATTGTACAAAAAATATACAAATATATACATGCACGTTACAACAATGATAAGTAGACCATTAATTTATAATTCATAAAAATGTAATTTAATTTAGTCAGTAAGCATGCAACATGCCTCAAATGATAGGAAAGAATCAATCGAATGAGAATCAGAAGTTAAGATAATAATGCTCAAAATCAATATAAGCTTTTGTGCACGCAAATCAC